AATGCTGCCAACACTCGTTGCTGGAGCCCTGGGGACTCAAGTCGCTGTTTTTCTCATGATGGAGAACAAATTGGGGGTGAAAGCAGCCCCAGAGCTGTCCCGGGGGGCTGTTGTTCCCCGTCTCTGCACAGCCGTCACGAGGGAGAGGGCTGAACGGTGGCAAAGTCCCCGTGATGGCTGTTTGCAGAGAGCACCTTTGTCCCGGGGACGCAGAGTGGGTGCTGCTGACCCCTCTTCCCTTCTCCCCTTGGGGCCACGGGAGCCCCTTTCCAGCCCTCGTCCATCCCAGCTCTCCCGGGATTTTGGCTTCCTCAGAGGCAGCGTGTTTGTACAGCCGCAGCGTGGCTGTCCCCAGCTTTGTCACCAAACCCAAGCGGCGGGACAGCTGGCATGTGACAACACCAAACGCAGCGTCCCCGGGGACGGGAGGACAAGGATGGGGCTGGGGGCTTCTCTCTCCTCCCCAGGATGGTTTGTTTGTCCACCCCGGGGAAGGTGCTGCGGGGTGGGGACAAGGGTGGGGACCTGTCCCCAGCCCTGCCAGCACAGCAAAGCCCGGTCGGGTCAGGATCCGGCCACTCTGGGGCCGCTAAATCCGCCCTCTCCGAGCACAGCCACCGGCATGGGGACGGTGACGGGTCCCCCCCAGGACCCCGACGCCGCGGGACACTACCAGTTCCGTGTCATCGTGCTGGGGGACGCGGCGGTGGGGAAGTCGTCATTGCTGCGCTGCTTCGCGGAGGGTCCGGGCGGGGGGTTAGCTCTGGGACACGGCTGGCCAGGAGAGGTTCAGGTGAGGGGGGGGGACACACGCAGGGGAAGGGGGACACAGCCCCCAGGTGGGACCCCGGCACCCAACTGACTCATTCCCCCCTACCCCGGGGTGGGTGTAAAGTCCCCGGCCGGGTGCGTGGGGACGGGCAGTGATGGCTCGCTGGGACGGTGATGCTTTAGGCGCCCGGTGAAACCTCGTGCTTGGGTTTGCGGCAAAGCCGGAGCTGGTTTTGGGGAGCAACCAAAGGAGCAGGGCAGGGTGCTGCGGGTCCTGGGTGCTGGTCCTGGGGTGCCGGTGGGCTGAGGGTGGGTGATTCCCTCCCTGATTGCATCAGGCTGGAACCAGGAGCTCCTGGGAGCATGAAAGAGGCTCCGATGGGGCGCGACGGGAAGAAGAGCGGGTGCCGTGGCTGAGGCGAGGGGTCCCGCGCTGCCCCCATCCCTTGGGGGAGCCTTTGGGGTGCCCCAAGGTCTGTCTGGGGGTGCCCTGTTTTCTCCCGGTGCTCAGCCCCATCAGCACCCACCGGTGGGGGCTGCC